TTGGGTTGGTTTGGGTGGCTTTGGGTGGGGTTGGGTGGGGTTGGGTTTGATTTGGTTACATTTGGGTTGGATTTGATGACATCTGGGTTGAATTTGGGTGCATTTGGTTAAATTTGGGTCAATCCACGTTGACCTCCCCCCTCCCGTCCTGCAGTGTCGGACCGAGACCGGAACCTGCTGGTCTACATGTACCTGCCTGAAGGTGAGGGGGGGCTCAGGTGGGCTCAGGTGGGTTCAGGTGAGCTCAGGTGGGTTTAGGTGGGTTCAGGTGAACCCCAGATGATCTCAGGTGGGTTCAGGTGAGCTCAGGTGGGTTCATGTGAACCCCAGATGATCTCAGGTGGGTTCAGGTGAGCTCAGGTGAGCTCAGGTGGGTTCAGGTGAGCTCAGGTGAGCTCAGGTGGGCTCAGGTGAGCCCAGATGATCTCAGGTGGGCTCAGGTGAGCCCAGGTGGGTTCAGGTGGGCTCAGGTGAGCCCAGGTGAGCCCGGCCCCGTGTCCCCCCAGCCAAGGAGTCCTTCGGGGGGCTGCGGCTGCTGCGCCGCGCCGACTTCCACGTGGGGGCGCACGTGAACACGTTCTGGCGCACGCCGTGCCGCGGGCACGCCGAGGGGCCCAACCGGCGCTCCAGCACCTGGGAGAACAAGCACATCACCTGGTTCGGTGAGGGACACACCTGGGGTGGGTGGGACACACCTGGGACACACCTGGGGACACCTGGGAGAACAAGCACATCACCTGGTTTGGTGAGGAACACCTGGGGTGGGTGGGGACACACCTGGGACACACCTGGGGACACCTGGGGACACCTGGGACACACCTGGGGTGGGTGGGACACACCTGGGAGAACAAGCACATCACCTGGTTCGGTGAGGGACACACCTGGGGTGGGTGGGACACACCTGGGACACACCTGGGGACACCTGGGACAGGTGGGACACACCTGGGACACACCTGGGGACACCTGGGGTGGGTGGGACACACCTGGGACACACCTGGGGACACCTGGGACAGGTGGGACACACCTGGGGTTGGTGGGGACACACCTGGGACAGGGATCAGTGTTTTTTGGGATTTGGGGTTTTTGGGATTGGAATTTCTGGGATTTGGGGTTTGGGCTCTGTTTTCTGGGATTTGGGGTTTCTGGGATTTGGGATTTGGGGTTTTTGGGATTGGTGTTTTTTGGGATTCGGGGTTTCTGGGATGTGGGTTTGGGCTGGGAATTCCGGGATTTGGGGTTTTTGGGTTTTTGGGATTGGTGTTTTTTGGGATGTGGGTTTGGGCTGGGAATTCCGGGATTTGGGGTTTTTGGGATGTGGGTTTTTGGGATTGGTGTTTTTTGGGATGTGGGTTTTGGGCTGGGAATTCCGGGATTTGGGTTTTCAGTGATTTGGGGTTTTTGGGTTTTTGGGATTGGTGTTTTTTGGGATGTGGGTTTGGGCTGGGAATTCCGGGATTTGGGTTTTCAGTGATTTGGGGTTTTTGGGTTTTTGGGATTGGTGTTTTTTGGGATGTGGGTCTGGGCTGGGAATTCCGGGATGCGGATGCTGATCTCGCTCCGCAGCGACGCTGGACGGGGGCCTGGGGCTGCTGCTGCCGATGCAGGAGAAAACCTACCGCAGGCTGCTGATGCTGCAGAACGCGCTCAGCTCCGCCCTGCCGCACCTGGCCGGNGGCCTGGGGCTGCTGCTGCCGATGCAGGAGAAAACCTACCGCAGGCTGCTGATGCTGCAGAACGCGCTCAGCTCCGCCCTGCCGCACCTGGCCGGCCTCAACCCGCGGGCCTTCAGGTGAGGGCACACCTGGGGGCACCTGGGGACACCTGGGGACACCTGGGGACACCTGGGATACACCTACACACACCTGGGCACACCTCAGCTCCGCCCTGCCGCACCTGGCCGGCCTCAACCCGCGGGCCTTCAGGTGAGGGCACACCTGGGGGCACCTGGGATACACCTGGGCACACCTGGGTACACCTGGGATATACCTGGGGACACCTGGGATACACCTGGGCACACCTGGGATACACCTGGGATACACCTGGGGACACCTGGGCACACCTGGGATACACCTGGGTACACCTGGGCACACCTGAGATACACCTGGGGACACCTGGGGACACCTGGGTACACCTGGGCACACCTGGGATACACCTGGGGACACCTGGGGACACCTGGGATACACCTGGGGACACCTGGGATACACCTGGGCACACCTGGGCACACCTCAGCTCCGCCCTGCCGCACCTGGCCAGGCTCAACCCACGGGCCTTCAGGTGAGGGCACACCTGGGGGCACCTGGGCACACCTGGGTACACCTGTCACACCTGTGACACACCTCTGATACACCTGGGCACACCTGGGCACACTGCGGGCATTTGGGTGCCATCACCTGCCCCACACCTGTCCTAGCACAGCCTCACACCTGTCACAGCCTCATCCCCCACCTGTCCCCATCCCACGTGTCCCCATCCCACCTGTGCCTCACCTGTCCCCATCCCACCTGTCCCACCTGTGTCACCTGTCCCACCTGTCCTGCCTGTCCCTCACCTGTCCCACCTGTCCCCATCTCACCTGTCCCACTTGTCCTGCCTGTCCCTCACCTGTCCCACCTGTCCCTCACGTGTCCTTCACCTGTCCCAGTGTCCCTCACCCATCTCACCTGTCCCTCACCTGTCCCAGTGTCCCTCACCTGTCCCTCACCCGTCTCACCTGTCCCTCACCTGTCCCAGTGTCCCTCACCCGTCTCACCTGTCCCTCACCTGTCCCTCACCTGTCCCAGTGTCCCTCACCCGTCTCACCTGTCCCTCACCTGTCCCAGTGTCCCTCACCCGTCTCACCTGTCCCTCACCTGTCCCAGTGTCCCTCACGTGTCCCTCACCTGTCCCAGTGTCCCTCACCCATCTCACCTGTCCCAGTGTCCCTCACCTGTCCCTCACCTGTCCCTCACCTGTCCCACCTGTCCCTCACCCGTCCCACCTGTCCCTCACCTGTCCCTCACCTGTCCCTCACCCGTCCCACCTGTCCCAGTGTCCCTCACCTGTCCCACCTGTCCCGCCTGTCCCAGTGTCCCTCACCCGTCCCACCTGTCCCTCACCTGTCGCACCTGCGCAGGCTGCTGCAGTCGGAGCGGCGCCTGCTGCAGAACGCCGTGCGGAACGTTCTGGACGGGGANGTCCCACCTGTCCCTCACCTGTCGCACCTGCGCAGGCTGCTGCAGTCGGAGCGGCGCCTGCTGCAGAACGCCGTGCGGAACGTTCTGGACGGGGAGCTGCTGGCCAGGTTCCTCTACCTGAGCGCCATGGAGCGCGGCGAGCTGGCCAAGAAGATCGGCACCACACCTGACATCGTGAGTGCGCCAGGTGGGGGGCAGGTGAGGGGCGGGCAGGTGAATTTGGGACAGGTGAGGGGCGGGCAGGTGAGGGGCTGGGCAGGTGAGGGGCGGGCAGGTGAATTTGGGACAGGTGAGGGGCTGGGCAGGTGAGGGGTGGGCAGGTGAGGGGCTGGGCAGGTGAGGGGCTGGTAAATTTGGGACAGGTGAGTTTGGACAGGTGAATTTGGAACAGGTGAATTTTGGACAGGTGAGGTTGGACAGGTGAGGTTGGACAGGTGAGGTGGGACAGGTGAGGTTGGGACAGGTGAATTTTGGACAGGTGAATTTGGGACAGGTGAGGTTGGGACAGGTGAGGTTGGGACAGGTGAGGTGAGACAGGTGAATTTTGGACAGGTGAGGTTGGACAGGTGAGGTTGGGACAGGTGAATTTTGGACAGGTGAGGTGGGACAGGTGAGCCCCTGACCCCCCTCCCCTCCCCCACAGATCCTGGACGACCTCCTGGAGATCGACCGAGTCACCGCCCACTTCTGAGGGACCCAAAATCCCCCAAAATCACCCCAAAAAATCCCCCAAAAATTCCCAAATTCCAAAAATGCCCCGAAAATTCCCCAAAAACTCCCCGTTTGTAATAAAACACAACTCTCGACTCCGGTTTTGGGGTTTATTTGGGGGATTTTGGGAAAATTTTGGGGAAAATTTTGGGGAAGGATTTTGGGGGGTTTGGGAAAAGGTTTTGGGGTAATTTTAGGGAATTTTGGGGTAAGATTTTGGGGTAATTTCAGGGGATTTTGGGTAAGATTTTGGGGTAAATTTAGGGGATTTGGGGTTCACAGTGGCTTTGGGGTTTCACAGTGAATTTTGGGGAGGGGGTTTTGGGATTTTTGGTATTTTTGGGGTGATTTTTTTTTTTGGGTGCGTTTCGGGGTTTTTTTGGGTTTTTAGGTGAGGTTCGGCCTCTTCCCCAAAATTTTTGGGGTGTCTTTCAGGAATTTTGGGGGTTTTTCTCTTTTCCCGGGGGGGGTTTTTTGTGGTTTTTGGGGTGTTTCAGGGTATTTTTGGGGGGTTCCCAGCCAGTTTTTGGGGTGTTTTTGGGGTTCTCCCAGCCGGTTTTTGGGTATTTTTGGGGCGCTCGGGCCGTTTTTGGGGTGTTTTTGGCTATTTTTGGGGTGCTCCAGCCGTTTTTTGGGGTGGTTTTGGGTATTTTTGGTTTGCTCAGGCCGGTTTTGGGGTATTTTGGGTTATTTTGGGGTATTTTTGGGATGCTCCGGCCGTTTTTGGGGTATTTTTGAGGTGTTTTTGGGTATTTTCGGGGCGCTCGGGCCGTTTTTGGGGTGTTTTTGGGTATTTTTGGGGTGCTCGGGCCGTTTTTTGGGGGTTTTTGGGT